CGGGCCGGCCGCGCACGCGGCGGGCGCGACGGCTGGCGACGCGCATGGCGCGACCAATGCGACTGTCGGTGGCGTGGGCGTGGGTGCGCCTAAAGGCGCCGGCGCTCCAGTCAACGCTCTGCAGAAGGTGCCAAATGTGCAGACTGTGAGGCTTTTGGATGATCAGGCGGCCCAACAGCCCCGCAACAGCGCCGCACTCGATGGCAACGGGAGGGGCGCCGCGGGCGGCGGCCGCCGGAGGGCCGCCGCTCGGCGCGTGCTGTCGCGGCGGCCGTTCGGAGCCGCAGCGCTCGCCGCGTGAGCGGCCGGGCCGCAGGGCGCGCGCTCTGCGTGGTCCCGCAGGGGGGCCCGCCGCGCGTGGCGCCTTCATTCGCTTGCACCTAGGCGTTGTGATTACATCTCGAGCGCTTCCACGCGTCCCCGCCCTCCGCCGGCGCACGACCCTGTCACTCTTCTCCTCCCCTCCTGGTCTGCCACGGCTCTAATATGGGCCCACAGAATGGAGGGGGGGGGGGCAGGCAAGCCGGCAGGCGGGGGGCCGCCCCTGCTGGGTGATCTCACCCCTCCAGGGCTCCGCAGCTGCCCAATAGCTTCCATTAGAATATTATCAGCGACCCTAGAGCACTTGTATACACGTCTGCTTACAAAATCATTCCTTTGTCACGAGTCAGCGCTATGTGGAGCAGGCGCGACGCGCACCCCACACGCGCACACCGCACACACTGTCACTCCCTTGCCGCGCGTGTGCGAGTTTCCCTGGCGCGAGGCTTGCTCCAGGGGCCGCACTCGCGACCCCGCGTCCAAAGCAGGGCGCCGCTCGCGCCGCGCGGCTACTGTTGTGCAAGGGCGCCTCCCCCCCCACTTCCACGCGCGCGCGGCTGGGCGGTCCGTCGGTCAAAGGCACTGGCTGTGCTGGTGGCATCGAAAAAATGCGTGTAGCTGGGCCTTAGCAACACACACACTTTGCTTCCCGTTTAGACATATCGCATCAACCAAGGCCCCACGCACTGAGGCCATCACCTCCTCTCGGGCAATCGGCCGAACATCAAAGTCAGCGGCGCTGCACAAAGCGCCTGCAATCTTTGGTCGGCGTCCGCGCAAGGGTGGCGGCGCGTAACGCTGCGCTGGCCGCACGCACCGTTTGCATCACGGGCACTCGGGCGGCGCCACGCCGGCGCCCCGCGGCCGCCGCCGCTGCGACGCTCTGCCGTAATACAGGGCGCGAGCGTGCGCGAGAACGCGCTTCTCGAGCACACCATGCATGTTTTGCGCGGACTGCCGTGTTTTATGGCGAGGCGCCACCCTTGTTTTGCTCTTGCCGCCGCCGCGCGTGCGATTCTGACACATCGTCCCCTCCGCCACCTCTCTCAGTGCACAATTTCATGTCTGCGGCCCCAGCATGCGCCGCCCCTCCCGAGGGTGTGCCAATCCCGCCCACTTCGCATCGCTATTGGCACTTGGCGCCCCGTCGCCTGCCCCGCCTGCGGGACAGCAGCCGCCTCCCGGCCAGCACCAGAGTGTGTGCGCGCCCAGCACGCGCGCCCCTTGTCAGCCCTCCCTTGCGCGATATTCACGACATTGCAAAAGGCGTGAGGTGTGTAAAGAAGGAAGATGTCGTGCACGGTGTGCAGACCAGAAAGGCATGAGCGGCCGGGCCTTGGTATGGCAGTACCTCAGTACCTACACGGGGGGTCTGGGCGGGGGTGACGGGGGTGACAGGACACGACGTGAAGCGGGCAGCTGGCCTGTTGGTTGCAACGATGGGTGGGTGTCCGCCACCTGGGTAGCTAGCATGCTGTGCACGCGGCGGGGCCACACTTGCCTGGTGGTCGGGCAGCCGGGGGTCGGGGTTAGCCCTGATACAGCGGATGGGTTTTTTCGTGGTAGCAGGAAACAAGTGCCTTCTCTACGCGCGGCAACATGCCCTCAGGAACGCGGTAGCCACTCGTATTGACCCACTGTTGCTGCTGCACAACCTGTGTTTGTTCATCGCCGAGCCCTGGCCTGCTTCGAGGTTCGCCTACAAGCGGCACCCATCTCTACCCGCGCCGGCCCAACGCGTAGCCCGCACGCCGCCGAGCATCCCGCCTGGATCGCAGACGGGTGTGCCTCGCCGTGCGAGCGCGAGCCCCCTGCGAGGCCGCGCGCCAGGGCCCTGCCTGTCAAGCACTGCTGCTAAGCCAGCAGGACACAAGCGGTAAGTTACATTTTGGTTGATGTTGCGATGCTGGCAATCAGCAAGATTTAGCGCGCGTGAGGTGAATCAAAACCTCAACAGCAGGGCGAGCCGCTGGTCGGCTGGTGAACAGGAGCGGCAGGGGCAGACTGTCAACCCATGGCCCGCAAGTGTGCCTAAGCCAAACAGGGTTTCACGACATTGTGTACAGTCAAAGCAACAGGCTTGCTGGGATGGCGGGTGGTGGAGGTTGGTACATCACCAACGGCAGGGGTATGATACGTCAAGAACTAGGATAGACACACTTTTAGTCACAGCCTTCACTGAAGATCCTGAGGGCCTCCTCGTCCATGAGTCAGAGTGACGTCATTTCGAATAGGGGGGGCCGCAGCAAACGACAAAATCGCGTCCCCTGCACCCGCTGAGCCCGCCTGCGGGGCGGTTGCGAGCGAGCAGCTGGCCACAGCCGTCGGCCCCAGGCAGTGCGTGCGCAGGCACAGCCTCTACGCAGCGGCGCTATGGTACATAATTAATTGTGGTTTGGCGTGTGCACTGCACCTGGGCCTGTGTGCGTGCTCACATGCCTGCAGTGCAGGACGACGCCACACTGCGCCGCGCCGCCCCATCACGCCCCGAGCCGGGCCTTCTGCTCCAAAACGCGGGCCAGCAGCCGCTCGAACCTGCCCTGCTGCGCGCGGTACGCGTCGCCGCGCTTGGCGCACTCCACCGCGCAGCGGGCCTTCTGGCGGCGCTCGAGCCTCGCGGCCTTTTTGTGCTGCGGGGCGGCGAGGGTGTTGGGTTGGAAATTGGAGATGGTGTACCCAGGACTCGCCGTTGCATGCTGCATGGCGGAGAGTCCGGGCTTGAGATGGAGATGGAGGCGCAGGCCGTCGCAAAGACGGTCCCTGAGGTGTCGATTGTGCGGTCGTGGATTCAGGCCGTAGGGCGCACACCGGGTCAGAGGCGAGCGCTGCAGCGCGCCCGCGCCCCGCCGCCCGCAAGCCCCCACCGACGCCGCGCGCCCGCGGCCAGGCGCGCGCACCTCGTCGCGCGCGCTGCCGTCGAGCTGCTGCACTCGCGCCACCAGCTGCTGCTCCCGCTCCTCCAGCAGCGTGCGCGTGACCCACATCGACACCGCCGCCCAGCCGCGGCCGCGGGTCGTCGCAAACGTGAGGGGCTCGGGCTGCTGGGGTTTGGGGTTGGGGCAGCACAGCAGGCAGGGCCGCTATCGGACAGGATGCTATGCAAGCCATCGAGCAACATCAAACGCGCCCCGCGGTGCTTCTCACCGATGGGACGCCGCTCGTCGCCCCGGCGCCTGTGCAGTCGGCCCCGCTGCCGCGCGCCGCGGGCGGGTAAGGGGATACACCTCCCCCCCCAGAAGCGCCCTCACCCTCGCCGCCCTGGCCTGCTCCTCGGCCGCGCAGCGCAGGTCCTCTTCCACCCCCAGCGCGAGCTGCTGCCCCTCCAGCGCGGCGCGGCGCTCCTGGACCCTGCGCGGGAGTGGAGGGGTGGATTGTGGAGGGTGTGCGGGCATAAGGTCAGCGAAACACAGTCAGCATGTTCAGGGATGAACGTGAGCGTGTTTGTGCGTACATGTACAATTGTGTTTTTGTGTGTGCGTGTGTGTGTGTGTGTGTGTGTAAGAGATAGAATGTGTGTGTGGGTGTGTGTTGTGCGCGCGCGCATGCACGCGTGTAGCCGCAGCAGGGCCCCAGCTGCCGGGCCACACGCGCCGCCGCGGGCGGGGCCGCGGAAACGGAGGGTGACGCGCATCACGCCTCGCGCGTCGTGCTTGCGCATCGCGCACCGCGCTCAGGCCGCCGCAGGCCCCCCTGACCTGCTGATGAGGTCCTGTGTGGCCAGCAGGCGCTCGCGGCAGGCCTCGGCTATGGCGACGCACTTCTTCGCCCCCTCTACGTGGCCGCTCCACTGCAGCAGGCACGCCTCCTCTTGCTGCGGGGGCCGCGTGATCGCGCAGATGCTGTGAATCAGGATGCCTTGTGACATGAGAGAAGGAGATTCACGGGTGCTTTGCTGAAATGCTTGACAACACAGTCGGGCTCCCGCAACGCGCAGCACGCGGACACCTGGCGCGCGCGGCGCAGCCGCCGCGCCGCTCACCTCCTCTCGGGCGATGTTCTGCAGCGCGGCCGCCCTGTTTGCCAGTCGCCACTCTCGGTCCGCGAGGGCCTGGATCGCCGCGGCGGGCTCGAGCTCGGGCAGGGCGCCCGCGCCCGCGCCTGCGCCCGCGGCCGCGCAGCCGCAGAGCCGCAGGTCTGCGTCTGCCGCCAGCTCAGCGACGCGCGTCTCCACCAGCAGAAGCTGCTCCAGGAGGCTGTTTTGGGGGCAGACAGGGTGCGGCAGGGGCGGCGGCGGCGCGGTGAAGGAATGCGCTCGAGAGCTGCTCTATTCAGTCGATGCAGCGCAGCCTGGGTCCAGGATTGTCAACCTTCGCCCTTGCAGCTGTCCCCCAGTCGCTGGGGCGCATTGGGACGGCCCCCGGGGGCAGGAGAGGGGCTTGTGTGCGAGAGAGGGGTGCGGCGGCGCCAGGGCCCGCACCCTTTCAGCAACGGCAGCAGCCGGGCGGCCGACCCATCGCAGGCGTCTGCAGCCGCGAGGCACGCCGCTGCGGGGGCTTCCTGCTCCTCAGCTTCAAAGCGGTGGGCCTCCTCCCTCTGCAAATTGGGTGTTTAAGAGGCACGTTCGTACAAGCTAGTGTGAAAGCATCAACGAGGGGCTCGGCTGCTGGCCCCGGCTGGGCTGCGAGGCTCGCGGCCAACTCGGGATGAGTGCACTCCCGAGCCGCGGCGGCTTGCAGATTAGCGGAGCGCCGTCGGCGGCGCAGCGGCCTCACCAGGGCCCGCGCGGTCTCCTCCAGCCGCCGCCTGTGCCCCTTCAGCTCCTCCTGCTGCCGCGCGAGCGCCCGCGTCGCGCCGGCCGCGAGCGCCTCCAGCTTGGAGGAGGGCGCGCCGCCGCCGTCCCCGCCCCTGCTTGCCTCCTCCAGGCGGGCGCGCGCATCGGAGGCGAGCTCCGCGCACGAGCACGCCGCCAGCGCCGCCGCCGACTCATCGTCAGCCAGGCGCGCCTCCAGGCCGCTGCAGCGCACGCGCGGGGCGTGCGGAGAGGCGGAGGGCGGAGGTCGGTGAGGGGTGTCGATTCGGATGCGCGGCTGCGGCGCCGCGCCGAGAAGCAGGGGGGCGCCCACTCAACGCCGTTGCACGCCCTGGAGACGTCTCTCAGAAAGCTTGTGGCTGTCTTCCAAAGCAAAGCCAACGCAGATCGCTGCATCAGCGCAGGCAGGGCAAGCCCACCTGATCAGGGCGTCCTCAACCCGCC